TTGAATGGAATATTTATTACTTACTAACAAATTGATTTTCGTGTAATTACAGTTCTGTCTTTACTAAAATTTTATGATTTTTCTTTGCTTTACAACAGTTGTTTGTTCTTGTTTAGGGGCTACTACATCATCTCCCAAACTCTCTACTTTGCTATTAGAGGCAAATGTGTCCAGTGTGACAGTGTTGTCAGCTTTTTCTTGAGATAGCTGAGGACAGTCTTTCTTCAAATGTGTCACCTCTCCACAAATTTTGCATGACCCTCCCTGGGACAAAAGTAAAATTATTTGTTAGTGCAATAAATTCAAGTCATTGTTCAGAAACAGAAGATCAATGAGAATATGAACTACCTGCGGATAAAGTCCTCTTGGGTTGTCAGGGCATTGACTTGATATATGTCCCTGTTCTTTACAGATAAAGCAGGTAGCAAAACTGTATTCCTTCTTCTTCTTCACTTGGCACTGAAAGTGTGTGTGCTCAGTAGACCCACATTTATAACATATATTGACAGCACTGCTATCAAAGCTCTTTGACCCAAATGAACCTACTTCAGGACATTCAGAGAGCAGGTGACCAGCTCTTCTGCAGTTGAAACATACCTGGAATGCATAAAAAAAAACTAAATGACAGAACACATTTATAACTTAAAATGATTAGAGACAGAAAATCAGTAGAGTTAACTTGCCTTCTTTTTCTCTCGGGCAAGAGCTTTCTCAGCCTTCCTCCGTTCAAGTTTCATAGCTTTATCTACTTCAGTGCGAGGTATTCCTTCTTTCAGCATTTTTGACCGAAGTTCTTTTAAGCGAGTAGCATCTTCAGTCTTAACATCAAAGCCATCAAATTTAGAGATATTAATTGTTACACCATTAATGTGGAGAGTAGAAGACTCAACATATGGTTTCCTTCTTTTGAACTGACCACCTTTGTCATTGGCTGGGCCTCTATTGTCATGCTCAGATTGAGGTGTATTTGGTTTCACATCTTCTTCCAGCCCCTTCTCCTTATTTTTCTTCTTCTTTTTTTTAAGTTCCTTTGTCGGTGATGACAGATCATCATTCAAATCTGTCTCTTTAGGACACATTTCACTAGCAATAGGGGGTTGCTTATCTTTTTTCTTCTTTAATGTTTGAACGTTACCCTGATCATCATCATGATCGAACTTCTTCTTTTTCTTCAATGTTGGGACATGTTCTTCGTCACTCCTTGAATTGTTACTGTTCTTCTTTTTCTTTACTGCTGGCTCTTGAACATCCTCGGTCTTCCTTTTCTTCACAACCTTTTCTTGAAAATTTCCAGTTATTCGCGGGAGTCCAAAATCTGCCCAGGCTGTTTCAGTACCTCCCTGCTTGCCTTGTTTAATGCGCTTCAAAGCACTCTGAGCTACGGATTCGACATTACTTTTGCTTGAATCAAGCTTCTTCTCTTCAATTTGACGTTTAAATTCACTCCAATTTGTGGCTTCCTCTGCTACTCTCTCATTTGATGATTTGGAACCTTTAGCTCGAGCAAACCTTGTCATTTTGAATGGCCTAAGTAAGATATACCAACAAGGATTTGCAATACTAAGAACACATGTATAAGAGGTTATAATGCTTCTACACGAACAATATCTCTCGTAACAACCTTGCTCGGTTATCTCAAATGAAAAAATTATACTTGGTGGGGTCTTGCAAGTATAAAACGCGTATCAAGTTTTATCAATAATAACAGGCAATAAAGTTCACGTTACGAAAGAATATCTTAATGTTTACAAGTTAACGACGACGCAACGTGAGTAAAACGAAATCGAGAAGGAAAGAGAAAGAACAAAGCAAAGGGAAGAAAGAAACAAATTACATGCAAGGCGGTGACTATGTTGTCTGCTGCTGTCAGCCGTCAGCTGTTCCTGTCAGAACGTCTGAACAAAACGTAAACATCAATAAGTTTTGGGTTTACTGCCTGAAAGTTTTGGTTTATTCCACTTGTCCCCTTTGAATATTTCATCGCAATGTCATCGAGCTGGATTCAAATAACTCCAAGGTGCTAATACTTTTCATTTACTACCATTGACAATGAAATAGTTCGTGTAGGGTTATGATTACATATAAAACATTCATTCAATAGATTTCAGGATGGATTGACTTTGATCAACGCTATAGAGCCAGCGAAGCTTCGTCTTCTTTTGAATAGAATTGCGACTTTCATGCAAGGAGACACTTCTGGGAAAGCGACACCTTTTACAGAAGAGGAGGAGGCAAAGTTAGAGAAATCGCTTGGACTTGAATTGAAAGATGTGCTCCTGGTTGTTGACACATCAAGCCTCATCTTACAGCAGGTATAATGCGCAATACTTTGTGAGAGGTATTTTCACTCACTTGTATTGACTCAATGTATTCCTTTAGCTTACCCTTACCTTTGACAAAAAATGATCCGTTGCAGGCTGCATATCATATTATCAAGCCAGAAGTACTGAAAAGCAAACTTGTTGATACTCTAAAATTAGAACAAGAGAGAGCAGCAGTCATAGTAACTGTATGGAGCCTGAATGCTAATTTGATTGTAGAGAGCCTTAGAAAAAGATCAGTACTGCCGTATCAGGTAAAGCGGCAATATACAGAGTTGCAATTAAAAATAAATCTTTTCTTTTTTTTTGACTTTTTATGATTTTTGTGGTTATAGTTAAACTGTAACGGTGATTTTTGTTAGTTTGCAGATGTCACCTGGTTGTTGAATGTGGAGACATCATCAAACAAAATGTCAAGAACAAAAGACCCTGTGGCCATCCTAGAGTTACTCTTAAAATCAAACGATGCTGGTGACAGCCAAAAAGTGAAACTAGAAATGCGAAAGCCAGAGCTGCAGACTTTCTATCAAAATTTAGAAAAAATTCAAGCACAACTTGATGGGTTAAAGTGATATTCTGCACACTATCATATACATATTTGTAAGTTTGTACATAAATAAATGTAACGCTTTGGAAATCAGCTTTTTAAATAAAACAAGACATTCTTTTAATGACATTTCCTCATTTCCCTCCCATCTACTTGAGGGAGTGGAAGAAAAATAACCAATATGATACGTGCTAATTGAGAGGTCCGCGTAAAAATTGAAATAGCCGCCTTTTCCACTTTACTCGTGGCACTCAACATGACCAACACTCCTTGTCCACTGGCCACTCAAAAAGACCTACATGATTGAAAACACATGAAGTTTTTGGTCTTATCAATGTACTGATATGCTTTTCTTATTCTTTTGTTAAGTTTCATATCAGTGAAAGAGCACCTATACCTGCTTTATCACTTCCTCTTTTCTTGATCTCATGTCGGTACCAGTGAGGGCCGAGTGAGTGGTGTGGTGTGGTGGGGGAAGACCGCAGACGATAATTCATGCACACAGAAGCTCATGATTTTCAATTTATTGCAAACGTTTAAAATTTTAAATAAAAAATGACCCTGTATCATTTTGGAAACTGTGTTGCACTTGTTTATGTGCCATACTATTTAACTTATAAGTTCTCTGGATTGTAAGTAGTCGCAGTAGTCACCGGGAGTGGGTACCTTAACCTTACAACCACCGTTTGCAAGTAGTTTAATTTAAATTTAGTATTGACAGAAAGTAAAGCAATTTGCTTAGTAAATTATTCAGCAAGGTTATTGTATGTTTAGCGCTTTATTGTTCATTTTACATGTATTTTTTATATTAATTCTAGGGGAGAATATGGTGCATTCTGGAAATGTTTTCAAGCAGGATGCATTTATGTATTCACTCAATTGGCCAAAATGTTAATCCTAGCTACATTTTTCCCCACGAGCGATGCACCGGGAATAGTGGGTCTCGATTATGTTACCGTAAGCAATTTTGATTTATTTTGGATAAGGTAATATCTATTTGCTCACATAAATAGTATCTAGTGTTCATCTAACATGTTAATGATTTGCCCTACAGGAATTTCTTAAAGCAACTGTCGATCTCTTGGACCTAGCAGGAATGTATCTAGTTCTTTCTGGTATTCCTGGGAAGGGTCATGCTAAAATTGTCACTGCAGGTGTAGGGTGGGGCGGAGCCGAGTTGCTTCTTACCAGAGGTCTTTTGCTATGGGTTGGTGCAAGAGGTGCTGAATTTCATTGGAAGTACACTCAAAAATGTCTAGAATCCAACATCAATTTGGTAAGTGAAGAATTTTAAATTTTATGATATTGATGAAATAGTCCACTAAATATTGAATGACCTTTTTAGGTGCAGCATGTAACTACAGCAGCTCTGGTCTGGATGTGGACCAGACATGACTTAAAGAAATCCCTTGTCCCCATAGTTACAATGCTTCTTTTGGCTATGACCTACAAGCCCCTAGTTATGGAAAATGTTCTAGAAGTGATGGCTTTCAGTGCCTGGTCTGCCTTAGCTATGAAAGCACTTGCCACAGTACTTTTTGGAGTTATTACTCTACAAATGTATGTTGTCCTAGCAGAATCTATTGGTATGTTTTAGCCATACTCTCTGTATCTGTAATTGTTTTCATCTTGAGAGTTAGCTATAAACTATTTGCTTACTACAAATCAATGATTCACCAGGCACTGCCCTGGGTTATTATTGATAGCCAAAGAAAGAAAGGAAGGATTTTATAATACACCTATTTATATTGTACATTTATAATCTATTCATGCATTGTAAGCTCTCAATTGATGACACAAGTCAAAGTCATATAAATTTTGTTCTAATTGTGTTCCAAAATTATGAAATATCAATCTTTTTTCAAAATACATTACAAAATTTCCCATCAACGAATTATTACATTTCACCCCCTTCCCCTCACTTTTAATGCAGTGTTGAACAAAAATGATTCAGAGAGGACTTTGGGAGAAAAAGGAAACATTTTATATCAAAAATGATACTGACATGTTGCGTTTCATTGGAATAAAAGAAACTTAATACATTCATATTTGTACTATTCAAACACAACCATTAAATGTGCTTTAAATCAAAAAGCAGATGACTACAAGTATCACATAGCCTTAAAGAAGCTAACAATAAAAATAGCAAATTCATAACTTCTCTTGGCTTGGAAGGTAGCTTATAACATAGACATTTGTACGTCTGAAACATTATAGACGTGTAAAAAACAACTAGAATTGTGTAGGCCTCATCTCATCTCAGACAATGTACAAATACTGAGCACATTTAACAAGGCCATAATATTTCATTTTACAAAATAAAATACCTAAATTGATGCAGAATTACATAAAAACATAAGTTTATCTGTATCAAAAGGCACCTTCTGGACAGAAAATAAGCTATTGGTTGTTTATTTTTAAAAAAAATATTTGTTATACCGTGTGTGTGCTTGATGTAAAACTATGTACATCATTTTAAAAGGTATTCCAATCATTACTGCTCATCATACATCAGATTGTGATTAAGAATTTGTTCCAATGAGCATGCTTTGTCTAAAATCTATGGGAACCCAAAATTTAGAAATATTGGCGAGATTCAGATTAAGGGATGACTTAGCTTCTTTCTAGGATATACCTCCATAAGTGGGACGTATCAGTTAATAAAATGACAGGATTTTGTACTGGGTTTGGTTCCAACCTATCCTTGCAAAACAAAATTGGTACAGGGGTGTACACCTACCAAGTATAAGCATAAAAATATGCAAGTCTTCAAGGAGATAAGCCTTCTTGTGAACATTAAAATCAAAATAGTGAATCACAGTATGAAAAAAGATAGGTAAATCACTATGTGCGATAAAGTTTCACAAGAGAAAAGATATCAAAAGATTTGAAAGAATTACTGCCTAAGTATATTGTTATTTTGTATCTTAATAATTAAGGGGTAGCAAATATTCTTTGAAAAAACAAAGAAGTAAAAGTGCTATAAGTAATTGACCACAGTAGCTTATAAGCATCTGTAAGTGAGATTCTGTGCAATGGATAGTTTCTAAAGTTCTTGATGCGTAATAAAACTTTTCTCTCTTGTTTTCCAGTATCTGTTGACCCAGTGAGAAATTTATCCGACGACATCGTTTCGACATCGTTTTTCATGTCATTACGACTTAAAAGTGGTCATGAAAACGACGGCTTTTCGACAGTGAAACGTCGAAACGGCATGGAAACGACATCAACTGTCGAAAAGCCGTCGATTTCAGGACCACTTTTAAGTCGAAACGACGTAAAAAAATGTCGAAACGATGTCGTCGGAAAAAATTTCTCACTGGGCGAGTGCCTATACAAGAAAATGTAACGACCAAACCGAACCCCCACATTATTTACGGTGCAATTTTTTGAGATCCCACCGTTTGTAATACTTGAAAGACGAGTATCCTCAACACAAATAACAGCAAATCCCAAATAAATTAGCACTTTAACCAATTCATACTTAATGACATATTGAGTGTCAATATGACGGCAATTATGAGGCAAAAAAAGTACCTCCAAACAAAAAATCCTTCAATGTACTTTGGTATAATAGATTGAGAACTGTTTATAATATCATAATGTACCTTCAAAGAAATCATCAGAAGCAAGTTTGTTTGTTTTTAAGATATAGCAATGTTAATTTTCCCTTGCAACTCTTTTATGTCTCGGGGGGAGTTAAATTTATTTGAAAGTAACGAATTAAAATCTGAAAATTGTCAAATTTGCATGCAAAGTTAAAACCTAATGCAACAGGGATGTTGCCTAAAAATAAGATCGGTTCATGCAAAGGAATAATGATGGTAACTAATAAAGATAAAAACAATCTTCCATTACTCAGAAATTCCCCACAATAGTTGGTTAGATAGAAATTTCTTCAACTCCGATCAATACTACCCTGAGGTGAAGATTCATCATCCACTTCCTCAATGACAGAATCAGCTTCAACCCGTTGACGTTCCAATAACATCTCTTTTCGTTTCTATTGGAAATTTAAAAGCATTAGTAATTTGAGTGGCAGGTGTCAATGTTATCAAAATGCCAAATGAAGGTGCCTACCTCCTCAGTTAAGACAACGATTCTCCCTTCAATTTTGGGACTGAGTTCACAGCTCTCTTGCTCCAGATCCTCTAAAGAAGCTCTTCGCACCAGATGGCTTCTTGGTGATCTTCTATCAGGATGGGCATGAGCAGCACCATGTCCGGCTGAATGAGATGGTCCATGAGACATACCATGGCCTGTGTGGGAGTGTGTCATGTGCGGAGAATGAGGAGGATGTGAATGCTCTCCAACAGTACTAGAACGTCTCAAAGGAGGAGGACCATCCAATTCCCCATCCAACGTTTTTACCAAACTATGCCTGAAATTGTAATGTACAAGAAATTATTGAAAGGGCACATCAAGTTGTAAAAATAAAGTGAGGGAAATAGTTCTGAGCAAGGCTACTAAATTTACCTTCGAGAAAGAGTAACCAGGCTCTGACGATGTTTGGAATGGCGTTTAGTTTTACCCATTCGCATATTGATAGCTTGAAAATGATTTTGAATTGCCAAACCTAATTCAGGGCATTCCTCCTCGTCCATCTGGATCAAAATAAAGTGCAACACATTACTATTGTATTTTGTGATGTTGTCAACACATTACTATTATATTTTGTGATGTTGTCAGACACAATAACACTTTTAATACAAAAAAAACAAAAAAAAAACACTCACAACAACTTTAACGTCTTTTAACATGGTATAACCATCGCTGCCGCCATGCAAATACATTTTAGTTGCCAGATGGTATGTTTGTGTGAGTTGTAAGTACTCATCTCCAATTCTAACCAATTCTGGATCAACCTGATGGGATGAAATAATTGTCAGCAGTGTTAAAGTTAAAGAGCAAAACCCAACCACAGCATTCCAAATTTTTTTGAGAATTTTAATTTACCCGGCTTCCTGGTGGTTTAGAGGGATCAAATGCAAAGCATACTCCAGCCACTTGAGGAAACCGCCCTTCCAGTTTAGGGTAAGCTGACACTGAATTTTCTAGGGCCGCCAGAACAACCTGTCCTGTAAGAAATGACAAATGAGAAAAAGCATTACAAAGAAATTTATTTTAAGAGCTAATAAAAGGTTACAACTATGTCTTTGGCATACCTGTTACCTCCAAGATTACAAGAGGATCTCTCATAGGCACAATACTAGTCAGGGTGCCAAGGGTAAACGCCCCAGGAGGGTGAACGGTGTCTGAACGCAATGTTCCAGAATTTATCATTACTAGATCTGCTCCAGTTGCTGCAAGAACAACATCACAGACCCAATTACCCAGGTTGGTTTCTTGAGTCCGAACACTAGAAAAGCGTCCATCCAGTTCAACAGAGAAACTTCCCAAAACCTCTTCCATCTTTCCCTCAATTTGGCCTGTAACAATAATTTATAAACTTACGTCATTCAACAATATATTGTATTGAAATGTAATTATTTGACAATTCTCACTTATATATTTCTCCAATCCTTCCTTAACCACTTCATCTTCTGCAAATGCAGATGTGACATTTATTTCTTCTGTGGTTAACACTACCCCAGTAGCTTCAAAATTTAAAGTAATCTTGGAAAACTGACGAAAATCTGTTCCACTTTTAATAACATATCTTCCATTTACCTTTCAGAGAAAAAATAGCGAATGAAAGTTGTAAATTTGTTTTAATTAAGAAATACTATACAATGGCATGATGCTGTAAAACTATTTGTTTCAAAACAGGTGACAAAAAGTGATGATCTCTACCTGGAATATTTCATAAACGTGATCATGACCTCCTAAAATAAGGTCAATTTCTTCAACATTCTCAGCCAGCTTTCTATCATTTGGTGTGCGCATATGAGTCAAAGCTATGACATAGTCGCATTTCTGAACAGAAACATACAAATGAGACAATGAAGAAAACAAGAGGTGAAAATGAGATTTTGGAAAATCCTTGTAACACTCACCTCATGATGCTTAAGCTGGGAAGCAAGTTGCCTTCCAGCCTCAATAAAATCAATAAACGTAATTTCCTCAATATTAATAGTAGCAATGGTATCAAGCCATTCGTGTTCTACCAAGCCCACCTGCAAAATAACAAGAAAATTCTGGTATAGAGTAAAAGATTAAAGAAAAATTTTGTCTACAGAAAATGTTGGCCAAGATGGTACACACCAAACCAATTCGTTTGTTATTCCACTCAATCACGTGAGTTATTTTTCCATCTCCCAACGGTCTGCCAGTTTCATTGTCAATGACATTTGACATCAGCCAGGGAAAGTGTGTTCTGGCAACCCACTGAGAGAGGACATCTAGCCCAAAGTCTATGATTTTGCAGAGAAAATAAGATTACATATGTGTATGAAGATAGTACAAGAATTTTTTTTTTCCTAAAGCTTACCAAATTCATGGTTTCCAAAAACTGCACATTCAATGCCACATTCATTTAAAACATCAATCATTTGCTCTCCTTTGGTGTAAGTACTCACTGAAATAAATTGCAAAAGACAATCAGGTAGAACAGATTACACATCATATGCTTAATTAGTGGGAGGAAAAGTTTACTTACACATGCTGGGGGAAAAACAGTCTCCACTAAATAAAACAATGGGATTCAAATGAGAGAACGACTTTATGGCAGTGCAGAATCGAGCTGCCCCTCCCACAGGTTCTTGCTGTCTTGACTCCACGTTGTAAACATCATTAAAATGTAGCAGTGTCAAACAATGACTTTGAGCACCCATTGTGGTAGATAATTGGCTCAAAGTACGTTTACCAGCTTGTCGGACTTCTAAGGAAGCCTGTAGGGCAATGCAATGGCATGAATAAATGATTAAACAACAATTTGCATGCAATTACTTCCCAACAGTTTGCTAAGCTGAGCAGTAATAAATCATTTTCGCCCTAGTAAAAAAGACAATTTATCGCTTCACTCATTATTTTCTATAGCAATACAATCTATTCACAAAAGGCATCAAGGTGCAAAGATAAGATGCAATAAGTATTAAAAAAAAGATGAGAACACTAGCGAATTTACAAGAGTGTAGCCAAGAGACAAATTTCTAATATGTAAATCCTATTGAAATACTATAGTGAGCATTTGTCGTTTTGATGTGCACAGATAAGCCAATAAACGTACAAGCATTCGCAACATCTCTGCTAAAGCTGGGCGCACAGAAGTAAAAATTGGCATTAACCTGTTTAAGCCACCCAACAACATTCCTTACACCAGATGTAACCTCCTCTGGTACATCAATGGTGGGTGTGGATGATTCAATCAAATCAGTCCATTTTGAGCGGATGGCAGCCTGAGCCGTGAAGCTTGCCATTTTGAATGGACCGCACAAAAGGATGATTGATGACTCAGATTGTTAGAAGGCCACCTTTACCACACAATGCAAACAGTGAATTAGGAAATATACGCTCTTAACTATAGTCCTCAGTCCCTCAATGACAAGAATGTCAGACCATATAAAACACTCAAAAATGTTCTACTACCACAATTAAATTATCAGTTTGCTATTAGCTTTCTCAATTTTTTTAGAAAAAGCATGTCACATTTCTGTTGAATTTTGTAATAATAGAGAGATTTAAATCTACTAATTCTGCTAAAAATATAGGTTGGACATAAAATCAAGGAAATAGTGAGGTTAGACTGATTACAGCTGAAGAAGCCAACATGTGAAAAATTTCGCGTTTAAAGAGGAACAATATAACAAGATGTCTGTGCCTTTCTAATTAGACTTCTGATACGGATAGATTGACGACATTGTAGTAAGTAGATCCGATGATGGATGACACTTTTCCCTTTTTCTGAGATAACTTACCTCTCACTCAATGACGCACGATCACTCTCTTTCCAAAGAGATGACAAAGCCTGTCAGATTAACTGCAACAATAGGTTCGGACGGGAGGCGGTTACTTCCTTTGATTATTGATATAACAATGTTACGCATGTTGACCGTTGATCATCAGTAGCAGAAAGCCAGCACTAAAGCAGACAGCTTACCTTGACACCGTTCCGTTTCCGCGTCCCCGACCCCGACACGCCCCCCTCCCCACCCTCAAGCATCGAACTAATATACCTATTGTGTCGAAATGTTTCGTAATTGATGGAGTTGGTCCGATTTATTTTTGAGATATTTATCTACAAAATTTCGCTTCATTAGTACATTATCTTTGAAGTTCAAGGTCCTTCGAATCTTGTCGCCATGAGGAGCTCCATGACCCTCGAGGTAGTGACGTGTGACGTCGGCCTTGCGGGGAAATTTTAAAGGCAAAATTGTTCTAGGTTCAGATGCTTCTTGAGAGGATGCTTAAACTAGACAGCAGTTATACAGATGTTAGAAAAAAATTTCAACAGGGAAAAAAGAATGCATAAAGTTTTCAGTTTTATCATTTATTTCATTTTTTGTATATGAATCACCAACATGATTCTTCAATCATTTTCAGCTAAGCTCTTTGCTCATTGCTGATAAGCTAAGGGGGAAGGAAGCTATTACAATTATCAGAGCTGGCAGGAATATGATACAATTTGTGGAAGTTAAGTTACATAGAATTCAATATGTACAACAGAAGTTCAAATAATGTTTTAAGTTTCAGCTCAATTACTAAGAAGTTATAACCAACCAACAATGAAATTTTCAGAAAACATAATATAAACATGGTTTTATCGTCGGTCTGTCTTGCCCATGCCACGTTTCCCAGAGAAAAGATGCATTGGTTTCTTGGTTCCAATAAAACGATCTGCTTCACCCTTGAGACCAGTTTTTCCAACTTTCTTAGCTATGGCCTTGTGGGCAACATTCTTCAATTTCTTTTTCATCTAAAAGAGAAGAAAAACAGAAAAGAATTAGTTTCTGATTTGCAACAAAAGAAGAATAACCCTGATAGACAGCAGCTGAGAGCAAAACTAGCATTACTAATTGATGCAGAAATCTGCGAGTCTCAGAACCACAATATATGAATTCCACAAAGCATCAGCCATTTCGAGATTGTGGACGTTGACCTCAGATTACACTTAGTTGAACGATAAAGAGACTAAAGTAAAGCAAGACTTACCACAACATCCTTGATACCCATTTCATCTCTGGGTGGTTTAGAAACACTTCTAGCTCGTCCTTCAGAGTCCATTCTCAAACGCTTTGTAGGAGCCAGAGATAATGACCTTCCCTTGGAGGTACTTCTAGACCTTGGCTCTTCATCATCATCAGCACCTGATCTTGCTCTCTTCAGCAAGGGTCGATTAAGTGACCGCGCTCTGCCTCGGGTCTGGGTAAAGTTAGCCTGCAAATGTAGAGAAGATTAGCAAGAGAGATCAAAATTCAAGACATGCACATCAATTAACTAAATTACCTTGTCGGTTTCACTCATATCAACACCAAGGTTTTCAAATTCTTCCCTCAGCCTACCAACGGAACGTTCCCTGGCGCGAGCTGTGGTTGTTCTTGGAGTGACAGGCTTAGTAGATTGTTTCTTCACTTGAGACTCTTGACGGATAATAGATTTCCGGTCTCTAATTTGCCTAGCCAACTCTCTAATCTCCTTCATAGTTTCATCCATTTCCATCTTGGGAATGGCGTACAAGCCAGACTGAATACGTAATTCTTCTTCTTGTTCTAGTTTCTCTAATTTCTGTAATTGACAGTGAAAATAAGAAACAAACTTTTTCTAAAATACTATAAATTAAGGAGTTACTGCAGTAAATACCTCAAGAATTTCTGGATCAATGAAATCCTGAATATTGTGACCATTCCACATTTCCGGTATCTTATCATACTTCCACTCATCGCGGATATCAAAATTCTTTTTCAAATCAAGAGTGTATTCATCTCCAAGTTCTTCTTCAATATCCTTTTCAAGCTTCCGGCCAGTCGCACAACCATCCATTTTCAGTTTTTTCTCAGCAACTTTCTCTGGAATAATGAAGACAACAAATAAGAATAGAAGTGAGGGAATCAAGGATGAGGATGCATTTAAAACATGCGGCTTGTCTCACCTGGTATGCAAGGAGGGCGAGCCTTTCCATCACGTTGAGCTGGTAGTGCAACATGGAGTCTGTTCAAGACACCTTCCACCTTTTTGGTGCGCAATTTCTGATCCACACGGAAAGCAAGCAGAGCCTCACAGGCTTCTGTTTTAACTTGCATAACTCCCTCTTCTGTTAAAGAGCTCATTTCAATAAGGGGCACGCCTTCCTGCTGAAATGGCTTGAAAGCCTCTCGGCGGTCCGCAGGCAGCTCTGATAACTTCAGAACATCAGACTTGCTCAGCACAACTAGCAAAGGTTTGTTGGCGAAAAGTGGTTTAATACTCTCATACAATTGAACCTGAAAATAAAATGAATTAAACATACCGGTAATGTAAAATATGCTTATTTCAAAGTAAGTGCACATCATCAGCCTGCTTACCTGCTCTTCAATAGTGTGCCCACACTGTTCAGATAGATCTACAAAGTATAAAACACAAGCTCTGAGATGAGCCAAAGCTGTTACTGCTTGCATTTCAATAACATTTCGCTCTTCCAAAGGATGATCCAAGATACCAGGTGTGTCAATCACTTGCCACCTGAGGTACTTGTAATCTGTATGTCCAACATACAAAGATTTAGTTGTGAAAGCATAAGGTTGAACCTCTACATCAGCTCTGGTAATCTGTAAATTGAGAAAATATATCAGTACTTAAAACAGACGTGATACCCATCATGTGAAGATATCTTTGAATTCACAGCTACAAACCTTATTCACAAAGCTTGATTTTCCCACATTAGGGAAACCCGTTATGAGGATTGTCCGTGTGTAGGGGTCAATCGATGGGAGACGAGCAAGATGCTGCCTTACATGTTCCAAATACTGTAAATTGGGTGCCTGGCGTTTCATAATTGTAGCCATTCTGTTGAAACCAATTCAAGTTAATAAGAGCAAACTACTTAAAAAAAATTTTGAAAAACACATTGTATGAACTTACCTTCCAAGTGCTGCCCTCTTAAGAGTCTTACATCTATATAAAGAGTCACCAAACTTGAGCAGGCGGACATAATCCTTTGAAACACTGAAATAAATGTTGATCACCAAATAAAATATAGACTTAGCACAATACTGCAAAAGATTTACACCAATTTAGGAGGAAAATTTAAAATAAACTCACTTGTCGACTAAATGTCTTGCAGTATTAAGCTGACCTAAGGCTAGCTTGAAATGATCTTTGTCATACAAGACATTCATTAAATCAGCATAGAAAGGATGGATGTCCTACAAAATTAAATGTTTCATAATATGACACAATTTTTTAAGAACAAAACTAAGTCTGCCATTACATCACACAAGAAAAGTATAACAAAAACTTTGATGACATTGACAGTAACTGAAAAATGGAAACAGTCATACTTACATCTAATTTTGGGAATTCTTGAATAATTTGAGAAAGTCTATCATGGAAATTCTGTTGAGTGAATTTCACCTTGCGCATATAAAACTGACGAATACGAGATATTTTGTACTGTTTGTGCACAACCGTAGGTGTTTTTCGCTGAGTCTTCGAAAGAGTGATGTCCACAAAGTCCTGAGGAAGGAAAATACATGGGAATGTAGAAATGATCGTAAGAGGGTTAGGAATGGCTAACCTATGCACATCTACAACTATATTTTAAACGTCAATGAACAAGCAAAAATAGCGGGACAAAGTCGTGGTGCAACTAGACATCAAAAAGGAAACTGTAATTGTGAAGAATTAGAGATAACAAAGGTCCAACGATAATATAAAAGTTGTTTGGGCTAAACGCACATGGTGCTGAGATGCAAACAATAATAACAACAGGTAGATAACAAATGGGAGAAAAGATAAATAACAAACCTTTGCCGTCGGCACGACGGCAATTTTCTTAAAGTTGTACAACACCATTTTGAACGGTGCACCTTATTCTTTCACAAATTGGTCTAAATTAAGCAGACAGAAGTCTGCAGCAGCCTGCCCACGTTGGCCCGGGCTGCTTAAGGAAGGGGAATGTGAATGTGTAGGTCGTCCAATGGCAAAGGAAGAAGTATATTGCTATTTCAAAAACAAGGGAAACGAGGCTCTCTTAAATTGATAAAAAATTCATCAAATCAAAGTCAGTGAAGAAAGAAATGGCCCGTAGCCCTTAGTCTTGTGCACTGAACTGCATTATTAAAGCAGGATAACGGTTCGTGCAGAAATGCAAGGAAATTGTAGTGACACTGCCGATGATGGTTATCTGTAATGTATTTACAGTTTGCTTAACTTGGCGTTAAGAATAAACCTTTGCACAGTGCTTTACTGTGAAAATAAATGTTAATATGAATCTAACACGCGCTTCCCCCTCACCCCCTCACCCCTCTTGTCTACTGTC